ATTCCATCTTTCATGACATTCTATGCATTTTCTTAATCCTCCTTATTAATGGTAAGCTTCCAAGTTCCTGCCTTCCAAAGGAAAAAAAGTATTTCCCTCAACAAAACAGTTCTGGACTTGGAGATACTACTTGACATACAGGAGAAATGACCAGTTACCACAAAGTATCACATGCCAGAGATGGCAGTGCTTCCATTTCATCTCATCAGCACAGAAGAGAAAGCAAGTTGAACCACCCCCCTTCTACTGTTCCTTTCCTATCTTCAGTCCATTTCTAATGGAGAAACACAAATTTTCGGTGCTTTGAAAATGCTTCCATAAACCTAAACTGCAGGGCTTGCAAGAGATGGTCATTACTCTTAATCCTTGTACTGGCTGCCAGTCAGACCTCAAGTTTTTCATGTAAACCACCTATCAATACTGTGAGCTTCCTTCCTGAAAGCAGCACCTTCAACCAGAGGGACAGGGGTAAAGAGCCTAGAAGAACTGTCACTCCAACCATCACTTCAGCTGCTGAGCAAAGTAGCACAGCTATGAGGGCAACTGGAAAGTGATGAAAATTTGGCAGCAAAATGTCTAAACCAGTGGCGTTTCTATAGCAATCGGGAGAGTGCACGATGTGCAAAAGCCTGTAGCATTGCTGCCATCCTGCTGTGAACCCGAGGAATAGTGTCTCACCTTCGGAGCAAGAAAGCCCATTTGTATAGACCCCCTCTTCAAATTGAGCAGGGTCTACTTTAATTCTTGAGCTAATTCAAGATTAAGAGTAAGTTTGCACTATTTTGTTAACCAGAACATTGAGCATAAACCTCTTCTGTTTCAGGATTTGTACTGTAATTGCTCATGCAATAGCCCTGCTTTGCACATTTGTTTTGACCTCAAAGCTGGAATGGGCTCCTTATGAACACCCAGTCCAGAATTGTCTGTCTTTTGCTGTGGGACTCTAAGACCAGACTTCCTTTGGCAGAATTACAACCAAATTTGCATTGGGAATTGATAGAAATATGGAAATCAAAATAATCCAATTTGGGTTTGCTTCCTAGTGTTAGATTCCTAAATAGCAGTGGTTTGATGTGCCTAAGTCTGCTGAGCACAGCCAGTGCTATCCATGAATGCTGAGCATTTCTGGAAAAAAAAATAAGCCCAGCTAATTTTAACTGCTAAAATATGGATTCAAAAGCTTCATTACAGGCATCCAGGTATGAAATCGTAGCCATTTTAATCAACCTTCCTTTATTGTCTCCCCCATTTTCTCCAAGGTGGCTAAACAGCTGCAGCCTTCAGTGGTATGGATTGGAGATGCAGAAAAAACATTTTATAAAAAAGTGCCAAAGGCTGAAAAAGAGGTGAGTTGCTCTTTTATTCTTGTGCAGATGATTTCTCATGCTGCATTAGAACTGACACAAAGGAGCAGGTGTATTTCTTAGTTTAGCACATACCAGTATGACCAGACCTGCCAAAGCTTGCTTGATAATAGCTTGTCTCACTAACTTTTGACAGTCTTGTGACCTCTTGGGGCTCTTAAGAAGTCACATTTCTTACACACTTACCTTGCTTTATTTAAAAATAGTCCAGTCACTGCTCATCAGTGCAACAAAAAGTAGGAGAGAATAATGGAAAATTTCAAAATAGGAGTCAAGAAACCAAAAGTTAAGATGAGCTTAAATAGTTCAGCTCTATTAATTTGAGAAATTGGATGGAGCCAATCTGAACAATAAAGTAACAAAGATAAATTTCTACTGAGAAAACAAAGTGTTTATTAAAAAGTTATGTTTACAAATTATTTTCTTCAGCTACCCAGGAGTCCTCTTGATATTTCTTCATTCCCTTTGGGTCATTTGGATATTGCCCACCAGAAAGAATTAAAACACCACCCAGCAGGCACAGCACAGCTACACCACTGCAGAGAGCACCTCACTTGAAACCCTGATTCGGTTCATGCTGAGAAAATACCTAATGTAAATTCTTTAGAGCTCCAGGTGAAAAATAAACCTTTGCCATTAAGACTGGGAGACCCTTATGCCTGGTGGGGGTTTTGGGTGTTTTTGGAGGTAGGTGAAACAGCCATCATCTTGGCTTAGGCTGTCATTTCTTGGAGGGTTGAGGTGGGTGTGCAGTGGTTGATGCCCTCTAGCGGTGCCAACACCACAAGCAAGAGGTTTTCCTGGACCCTAACCCTGACTGCAGCTACCACCAGGGAGAAAAAATAGGAGCTGGAGCCAAAAATAGCCTGGGGTAATTGTGGTCTTTGTCCATTTGCTTTGACAGACACTGGCAAAGTGTAATTCAGCCCCATCCCATCCTCAAAACCCATAAGAAACCTGTGCCCCTGCTATTGCATCCCTAGACTCACAGACAGCACCAAGCTCAAAATCATTTGTGCCACATAGCACAACTTAGTGTTCAGAGCCATATAACATGAAATGAGAAGGGCAGCAATTATAAATGCAGCCTAGGGACCCTTCATTAGGAGCACTCCAAGAAGGTAAATGCAGCCCTTGGGAGAAGCCCAAGGAAATGGAAGTCACCTCACTCATCCCAGGATGACATTTCTGGCACCACCACTGAGGATCAAATATAAAGTCTTGAAAAGCCCACTAGAAAAAAACCTCTCTCCAATTCTTCCCCTAAAGGACACCAAGCAGTCAAATATTAAATCTGTTATGGTAATCCAGTTGCTAAGCACGCTGTGCAAGCAGTTCAGCCACTCACATTTTTAAACAAATATAGGTCACCTTCACAATTCACCCCATTTTTTCCTGCTGCTCAGATCCACATGACTGCTGAAATCCTAGCTTGCCTCTTCAACAGCCCCTCTTGCTGCTGACATTTCTTTCAAAGTGGAGGGTGATATTATTAGCTTTCAGGACATATCCCTGAAATGTGGGCACTATGGACACACATTTTCAAAAGCATAACAGGAGCTGCTGACACACAAATGCCAGTCTGGCTTAGTAGGCTTAACAAGGGAGCAGAGCATTTAGCCCCTCTGGTACTGAGAGGGTCATTTAAAATTCAGAAATAGGATTCCTACAAGCTGAGCAATGAGCAGTTCTTGTAACCAAACATAGGATCAGTGGAAATCCATGGACATCATTTGTCACCAGAAAAATGGATGCTCCAAACACAGGGGATAAATTAGGACTTGTTTTTGAAATAGTAATCAGTTTAAAAAACTCAGCATCTCCTGCTAGAGTAAATTTTCGCAGAATACACATATCAGCATCTCCTGCTAGAGTAAATTTTCCCAGCAGAATACACATGCTGCAGGTGCCTCACCTGGAGTAACTCTTATCCTTTATCAATTTTTTAATTTATTTTTAAGAGGCACAACTGCTTCCCCAGAAGCCTAAAATAATCTAGCAGTAATTCTCTCCTTTCTAGCAAAGCTTGATCTACAAGGCATCTTGGTAAATATTTGTGCTTCCTTCTAATACACAGAGGTGGGAAGCTCAACAGCTCTGAGCAGCAAGGTGTATATAAATCATGAGAAGCAGCTCAGCACAAAAAGCTTCAAAACAAAATTAAACACATTGTCATTGCTGTGACTAAGGCCCCCAACAGAGCAAAGGTGGCAGAGCTACTCACTATTCCAAAGGCCTGTTTGCAATAACAGCTTGTTTAACATGGTCTGCTCATGTAATGTAAGTCAAGCTCATTACCAAAAAACTACTTAGAGGCAAAGCTTGAATAAGAACTTGGGAGCTTGCAATTTGAACACTTCCAGACAGCAAAGTAACCCATACTGTCTAGGGGTAGACAGTCAACCTCCTTTCTGGACAAGGGAAAAGCCAAAATTTCTCCTCTCCCCCAGGGTAAGCCTGTGCATACAGAGCACAGTATACAGGGATCTCACTCTCCTAGGAGCAACAGGTACACAAGAGCAAGGAGGACCTGAAAAACAGCAGCTGGCAGTGGCCCACAGTCACAAGAACATTTCATCCAAGAGCAAGCATGAGCGGGATGTTTGGTCCTGGCAAGCAACATGCCCATGTTCTGAAGAGGGAACTTGGCCCTGATGCCCAAGGCATACTGAACTCTGTACTGTCATAGTTAGGCAATCGGCCATCTTTAAGATGCTCAGTATAACCTTGAAAATGGAAAGAATAAGAAGCCAGACATACTGTAAATAAGACAAAATTAACTAGAAAATAGCTGGGCAACTTTCTACCCCAGGACACTAAGGATTTTTGATTTCCCGAGTGATCCTTCTTGGTAGCTTTCCCTGCAAAGAACAGAGCTTTTTTCCTCCTTTCTGTCAATTGGCTGCTTCCACATACAAGAAGCAAAAACTGGATCACAGAAACAGGACATGCAATGTAGATTCACATTACCCTGCAATGGAGAAGGCTTGCAGAACATAGTCTCTTCTTTTGGAGCATTAAGAAAGGCCTGTTTTGACTTTCAAGCTAAAGTTTCTCAGGCATCTGCCTCCTATACAGAAAAAACCCCAAGGTGACCTAGAGTAAGGTGCTCAAGCAAGCCTGGGTCACCTGGATGTTTAGTCTCAATCATTTCTGAAAAGAGGTTTTCAAGTCATTAGACTCTTATGAATACCATACCCTGTCCCAGCCCTGTTATTCAGTTATAACTTAATACAAGCTTCAACCCTCTCCAACCACTATACACTTAAGCATTATCAAGCATAGCCTTCCAATGACAGGTTTTGCTTGATATTTGTGTTCTGTAAATGGTATCTACAATAAAGGGAAATGGTAAATTATTGGAAAGAACCAAATCCTGAGTTCAAAGAGCTTGCGTTCTCAGATTAGAGCCTCAGCAGAAATCAGTGAGCATACCTTCATATTTAATATAGTTACAAATTAGGTCATAAACTCCCAAGAGCTGTGAGAACCACAACAATTACCAGCAATTTGGCTGATACTGCTTGAACCTGTGTACCTGATGTATTTCTCAAGTTCAAAACCAGGAATTCTTTGGGTCATGACTTCCTGTCATTCAACATTGGAACCAGCATGTAAAATACATACACTAGCTCTCAAACCTGCAAGCATATAGCAGAAATCAAGAGCTACCCTGACTTTCAGAAGACAGCAGCCTTCCATTACCTAGGTTGAACATCTAGTCTGCTTACTAGACAAATATACATCTGAAAGAGCACAAAAACCTATTGCAGATGGTATCCACCAGGAATTGCTCATGTCTAAAGTTACTTCACCTCATTAGCTCTAAACTGTTCGCATTGATGATCCTTTCCTCTTTGTATTTACATGCTCTCAAGATTGATCCAAAACGACTGAAAAGAATTCTGCCCACATTCCTCAAGCTTTTGAAAGCAGAGGACAGAGTGTTGCTAGTGGGAACCAGCAGACGCCCTTTTGATGCTGACCTCAGACCTTTCTGCAAAGTCTACCAAAAAATCATTCTGATTCCTAGGCCTGACTATGCTTCAAGATTTGGCAAGTACTTCAAGTCACCCTCCCTGATCATTACTAGTACTTAAGATCCAAGCTTATTATGTGATTATCCTCAGAACTGATCAACTCCATTCATGCCCCAACTACATCTCAGTTCTTTAAAGTTTAGTTCATACTGAGGATCCCCCAAAGATCAAATAAAAGTGGAAGTAGAGAGGAAGTAGAAAGTTGCTGTTCTGCAGCAACTAACATGCCTTGTGCTCAGTGTACACTAAATTAGGCCCAACTATTTTTCACCATATAACCAAGATCTGATTTTAGTGCACATTTTCTATTTTAAACTACCTTTTTTTAAACAGAGAATCTCAATTCCCATTATGCATACCCAATTTCAAAGTCCTAAACATCACATTTCAGGGCTTTGCCATAAGGTGAACCATATCTGGGAGACTGAGTTTTGTCATTATCAAATTCTGTGTTTGTACTTATGGATAGTAAAGAAAAACAGAGGCATCCAATATTTTGCTTGCCTAGCAAAGGCAAGCTAGTGATACAGTGATACAGGCCCTTGCAACATCTGACAAATTTACTGAGTGACAGATATTGTCTGACAGGCAAATCATGCCAGGAGAATCATGTTTTTTATTGGACTAACTTAAATGGCTGGAAAAAAGACAAACATTGACATGCAAGTTTGCCAAAATTTGAATCAGCTTGAAGTCTGCAATAGCTATATACTAAGAAAATACTCCAAATTAAGCTTAACATGAATGAAATGCTAGGAAAAAAAAACATAAGAGTATGGCCAAGTCCTTCTGACTTGCCTCACAGAAGGCCTTATATTCCCAAAAGTGTAAGACTTTCCCCGATATCATTTGATTAATACTTCTCTGGACACTAGGGGGGTCAGGATGCAATTACTTTCACAAGCAAAAAGGTGATTTAGGTCCAGTCTAAAGATACATAGAAAAAGAGATTTTAAACTATTCTCAGTGGCACTAAACAGCTCCTGTCAAGACTCTAAACAGTGCAGTAATTCTTCCAGCATGAATAGCCCTGTCCATCACTGCATCAAGGAAAGACTCCCTTTATGCCACCAATCTCAGTGGATGTGTCAGAAAACAGTTTTCAATACTTTCAATTCAGGGATCTCACTACACAAGTGTACCTTGAGCAAAGCAGACATTATTGCTGTATATATTCACCTTAGCACAACAGCATGCAACTGTGAACTCCAGTTTGGTACTGCTTTTCCAGGAGGCAGCTGAGGTATTGAGATGATGCATGTTCAGGCAAGCTCAAGACAGGTTTTGACTGCCTAACACACTGTAAATCTCTCCCACATCCAAAAATTTTCCTAGTGTAGATGGGAAATGGTCTCTGAGCAAGCTAACATGTGTTTCATGTTATGTTACAGCTCTGATAAATTGCTAACAGATAAGAGACATGAGTAGGACCTAGAAAAAGGAGGTAATAGCAATTGAGTTGAGCTATGTTCACTCCTGGGGATTGAACAACCACATTCGGGGACTCCTACCACTAATTCGGTTGAAAAAGAGCCAAAGAGACTTGAATTAGTAAACCTCAGACTGCCCTCAAAAGTTAACTCTTGATATTTTAAAGCAGATTAAAACTTGTAACTTTGGTTCTTTGACATTGTCATTCTAGACAGCAAGTGTCTGGCTTGTTCTTTGGCTCAGATTCCCCTGAAACAAGATGAAAACACTGTTCCAATACAGGCCACTCATCTGCTCCTAACAACTCTCAGGGCCTGACACTCAGTTTCACAACTTAAGAAACTGCTTTGACAGAAAAAGCTGTGAAAAACATTTACAATCACAGTGCTCAAGCTTTGTCTGTTCACTGCAGCCCTCTGTTTTGCTACACACCAGTATGTTCCATTCAGTGCAGTGTGGGAACAGCAAACAGGGAAGATCACTGATTCAGGAAATCCACTGTCTTATACTTTCCCCCTGCTATTAATTAGTCAACAAGGCAGTATTTTCTCTTATGCATGACCCTTCTGCACCAGAAGCTGCAGCACATGTGCTGCTATGCAGAAATGTTCACTGCTGTGGGCATCCATTTCTCTTTGAGTCTGCAATTCAGCCAAGTCACAAATCAAGTGGAAGACCCCAATCTGAGTGAAAAATGTAGTACAGAATTGTCAGTAGTTATGGGTACAAGTCCCATACATGCATTACCATCAAAGGAAAGCTAAAGCAGACTTTTCTGTTTCATGCTTCTACATCTAGCAACATTAACTCCTATTCCAAACTTTTCTATACTACATATGAGTGTTCAGACACAAGAACTTGGACCTTTTTTAACCTCTTTATTCAGTAGCTCTTCCTCCTTTACCCAAGTATTGTGTTTTTCATGTGGGACACTAAAGGAAAGCACTGCAATATGTCATAACAATTTTAATAAGCTTTTCTGAGGCAGGACCTTTATAGATGATAAAACAAAATTATTATTTCTATTTACTTCAGGGAGCAAAGTCCCAGGTACTTCCCAAACATTAAAAATCCTTTCAAATAAGAGTTTTGCACCTAAAAAGAGAATCATCATTTAATTAACAAGCAAAGCATCAATTGGACATCTACACCTGTCATTTGTAATATGTGCCTATATACCTGGAAGCCTTTTGCTTCTAAGCCAGAAATCACATCCCCTTCAGCTCAGGAATAACATGTAGTTGAGGTCACCAAAATAAAAATAGGCTGTTGATACTTAGCTCTACACATCCATATGGGAAAAAATTGGACAAGTTATTTCTCCATGCATTCTCTTCAGCAAATTTAAGTATTCTCTTCCACTTTTATACACATCTACTTCACATTACGTGTCCGTAATGACTTTCCAAAAATACTTGTAGGCAGCAATGGATCACTAATAGTTTAAGAACAGATGTGCCTAAAGGCTGCAAGTCTGTAGATGAAAAACAGCAAGTTAGAGATTTGAACCTTGGCTTTGCTCACTAATACTCCCTATTACCCACTTTTCAATAACAAGATGTTACATTTCTCCTGCTTTCCTTAATGCTTGTCTTTGGTGTTCCCTCCTTTCCTGGGTCTTGCTGAACAGTCTTATGGAAACATATCATCCTGCAGAATGGAGGAGTCATCACCAAAACACTGAACATAAGCTGCCTAGCCAAGTTATCCGATGGCTTCACCCAGGGACACATCTTCCAGGCTGTGCAAACCGTCCTGAGCGAACGACGCATGCTGCAGATGACCAAGAAGCCACTGAGGGCTGTTGAGTTCATGACTCCTCTGGCCAGACAGGACCCTGTGTACAAAGAGGAAGAAGAAACATTTAAGGTGATGTTGACATGTGCCAGCTGGCTGCCTTTCCTTGTCTCCCACCTTGCTCTTGCCCAGACGCATGTGACATCAATCCCAGCTGGCCTGGAGCACAGAGGCCTCCATGCACACAGGTAGATGATGGGCATACCATTGGGAGACTGCTGCCACATTTGCCAAACTGCCTACATTGGCTCAGAAAGGCAGAAAACACTCCTGGAAGGTGTTTCAGATAGTTCTAAAAATAATCTTCCATGGTACAGCTTTTGGGTTTGGGACTAAAACTGTTTGGACTCAAACCTTCCCCCCACTACAGGGCCATAAAATCCTTGGAGCAAAACCTGCTGCACCGTATACACTTCAAATGTGCATGGATCATTCTGCAAGCAGCTACTTTTCACATGTAGCTCAGTAGTATAATTATTCTTTCTTTCCATGGAGGATGATTATTTTTATGCAGTAGTTAATTCTGCTTTCACTGTATTGCTTTTGGCTTTGCAAGCAATGGGAAAGTTGATCAGGCTTAGGTACAGGTCCACAATTTATTTGCTGTAGCAATTTCAGGATAGCTTAGGGACAGCTGAACTAGGCTTGAACTGGCTTGTTTGAATAGAGCCAGCACAGCTTGTCAACATTGACACTGCAAAAAGCCCACGGTTCTCAACTCAGGCTCTTCAAGGCTACCAGACACTAGTGCAACCAGCACCCTGAAGAGGAGGGCAGCCTTGCTATGCACTAGGGAGAGCCAAAACTGGCCTACACAAGGACCTAAAATGGGGTAGGGTTTTTGCACTGAAACGAAGACCCTGAAAAAGCTTCCTCCTCTACCGCCACCATCCCCCTGAAACTTCTACACAAAAGCAGGCAAGTTCTCCTGGTTCAAAAGTTTTTTTATTGAGCTCTCTGAACACCCCCTGGCTTGGAGCCCCCACTATGCTCTGGACAGTAAACAGGATGCAGCTTCTTGCAACTTTGTCCAAGTCATCTTCCACCACTAACCTAATGATAGCACATACATTTCTCCCAGGCCTGCTGCACA